GGTGAATGGATGGATGGGTGGGTGGATGGATGAATGGGTGGGTGGATGGGTGGGTGAAGGGAGAAGGAAGGAAGGAAGGGGCAGGAGGGAAACCATGTAAATGGGGGGATAATGATTGGCCAGATGGCTGCAGGCTCAGGGCAGAGAAGGAAAAAGTGACAGTGGATACATACAGACGGCTGCCTGACCCCTGACTGGAATGGAAAGCTTGGAGTCCAGTCCCTGTGGCCCAGGCCAGGCCGCTGGCCTTACCTCCGCTGCCCGGCCGGCCGGAGTGCGAGAGCATGCTCAGCCGCTTCTCCAGCTTCTCCAGCTGCAGGGCCTCAAGGGCTTCTTGGGCCGCTCGCTCCTCCAAGGTTGAGGAGCCCCCGGGGCCCGGGTCTGTGGCAGAGAGAAGGGTCAGTCCCAGGCCACATCTGCCAGGATGTCCCTGGGTGCCTTTTGCAGCCACACCCTAATGCAGCACCAGTGCCCACAGCCAGTTGGAATGGCCCCTGGCATTTTGCCAGAAGTAATGGTCGAGAGGCGAGCCATTAAGATGATGCTGGATTGATTCAATTGTATATAGACCCCTGCTGACTGACTCGGCGCCCGCTACTTTGGAGTTCCCCTTGAGTTCTCGTGGGGTTCCGAGAGTGAGTGGGCGCGCAGCCCGGTGGGGGTCTGGGAGAGTTCCAGGGGAGCTCCGGTTGGTGTGTGGTGTGCCTAAGATGGCCGCGTGGGTGGCGTTTGCGGGAGTTTGTTCCTGCTTGAGTGGCTCGTGATTTGTGCCCAGCCAGACTGCGGCAGAGGTGGCCAGCTTCAGCCCCAGATCCTCCTGCACTGCAGCCCCAGCTCCGGGCACTACCCACAGAATGCCCCGCCAGGTCCCTGTGGCCCATCCTGGGCCCCTTGGGACAGTCATCCCTCTGCCCACCTTGGGCCCCTGTGCCTATGGACAGCCCTCTGAGCCAGCTGCACTCCCTCACCACCCCACCAAGGTATCAGGCTCTCTCCCAAACAACGGGCCCTCTCTGTCCTGCCGACCCTATTCCACAAGAGATCTGCTCACCTGGTCTGCTGCACCCACTCCCAACAGGGCTCCCCCTCTGTCTCAGTGAGACGCCACTCCAGCCCTGTGGCTGCCCGCTGTGCTGGGGCGCTTGGGCTGAGCCCTGCTTGGCACCCCAGGCTCCTCGCCACCTGCTGACCCTCGGCACTGCAGCTCTGCTCATGGCAGAGGCCCAGGGTTCGACCTCTCTGGCCATCACCTGTGCGTTTTCTGAACCTGGGAGGCAGGGGCCTTTTCCCACCCAGGCGGGGTGTCATCCCTCGCGGGTCCCACGTACCTGCTGCCCACAGCCAGCCCACCGAAGCCCAAGTCCCTCCTGAACCAGAACCCTGGCAGCCACAGAGCCCCACGTCCAGATTTGAGGGCACCTGGCAGACCTGCTGCCTGTGAGCAGGACAGCAGGGCCTCTGGCGGAGATGCACTGTCCACTTCCAGGCCCTGAGCACACACCACTCAGATCGGCCTGCAACCTCAGGGCAGGACGCCAGCAGGTGGCGCTGCTGCACTGTCCAGGCGAGCCCCAGGGAAGCAGGAAGGGCTCTGGCCTGGGCACCCGCCCTCCTCAGCAGCTCCCCACCTGCAGCTGCTCCGGGGTGGGCAGCTCATTGTTGCCACTCCGTCCTCGTGGGAACCTCTGCTCTCCTGCCCACAGGACGGGGCAGCCAATGTGAGTTCTCTGCCCACCATGTGGCTACAGCTAGATCATGGACAAGGGCTGTCCCTGCTGGGGCCAGGGGAGCCAGAGCTCATCCTGCCCGGACCTGCTGGACCCTGAAGGAGCCCAACCCTGCTCTGGGCCCCTCAGTATTTCTGGGCCCCTCAGTACCATGTGGCCACTTGACCCAGCAACATCCCTGATTAGAGTCCTGCTGAAGCAGGACACCCAGCAGCAAGCAGGGAGCGCGGAGGGACAAGAAGCCTGCTTAGTGCAGCCCCGGTGCCCACCCTGACTGCCCACCCTGACTGCCCACCCTGAGACCCACGCCCCAGCCAACCTCCGGGCTGCTCCTGCCTCCTAACCCGGAGCCACCGAGTCAGATCAGCTGGCCACGAGCCAGCGACCTCAGGAAGACTCCTCGGTGCCCCGTGGGGGCGGCCTCCACAGCCCTGTGACTGCCCAGCCAGGGGCAGCTGTGGCTAAACTGCCCAACTACTGTCCCAGTGGCTCAGAGCCCATGGGGGAAGGATCTGCAGGTGTGATCCACACCCCAAGACACACTAGCTGACCCCTCAGAACCCCAGGCTGCCCAGCAGCATGGTGGCACAACCCAGGCCAGGAAAGGACAGCCAACTAACTGGATTGAGTCAGTATGGCCACTGGATACCAGTGGCCCCACCCCAAGCATGGCCTCCCCATCTGACCTCACCAGGCCACACTCCCGCACACACCTGGGAGGGCTGGCCGCAGCCCGAAGGGGCCCTTGGTGGGGGAGATGCCTCTGACGATGCAGTCGAACAGGAAGCTGATCTGCTCTCCCTCGGCGGAGGACAAGAAGAAGACCCCTGCCCCTGCAGGAGGAGGACAGCGAGGCGAGGTCAGCCTGGCCCAGCACGGGCCGGGCACACCCTGGCAGAGTGGGCACAGGGTCTGCAGACGGGGTGGGGCTGCACATCCAGTCAGAACCCACAGGACCCGGCTCCCCTGGCCTGTGAAGCCACGTCCCCAGAGCCCTGGACCTGTCCCTCTGCACCAGGAACCCCACGCACACTTCAGACACACGTGCTGTCACGGCGGCCACAGGCTGCAGGCACCAGGCCTGAAGGGCTCCCCACAGGGCCATCCCCCGGGCCCAGGGCTGTGGCTGCATCTGGGCACTGCCTGGGGACACGGCAGGGCAGCTCGGGGGCACCCTCTCCCAGGCCTCGCTGCGCAGATGGTGCACAGTAATCCTGCACCGACGAGGTGTCCTGCCCTGGACGCACAGTCCAAGGATGTGTCCCTCCACCCAGGCCGCCTCAAGCCACCCTCGGCCACAGGCAGTTGGGTGGTCAGCTCCAGCCCTCTGTGCCTCGGTTTCCTCGAATGCACAGAAGACCAGAGGCCCCTCCCAGAGTGGTTCTGAGTGGAGGAGGCGTGTCCAGTCAGGGCTCCCTCGGGTGTCCAGGAGCGGGGCTCACATCCCAGAATGGCCACCACTGACCCCAGTCACACCAGTGGCCCTCACTTCAGCTCCTCACCCACACAGAAGGAATCTGCCCCACAGACGGCCTTCAAGTGGCCAGCGCTGACCTCCCCACAGTGAGCCGCCTCCCTTCTCCCCAGCCTGTCCTAGAGAGATGCACCTGAGGCCATGGCTGTGCCTGGGCTGCCTCCCCTGCTGTCCACTCAGTAGAAGGAAGGACCCGTGCCATCAGCCTGGGGTCACTTGGGCGGAGGACCTGCTCGGGGCCTCCACACCCAGGAGAAGCTTGGGCAGTGAGTCAGCAGGGAGGCCCCAGGCCACGTGCCCCGGCCCGGGCGCCCAGCCGGCCAAGGTTGAATGGAATCCCTCACTGGCCGCGTGAATGGGAGGCCAGGCTGGCGGCACCCACCTGCTGAGCCCCGGCACGTGGAGTGGACACTCGGCACAGTTGTCACCGGAGAAGCCCTCCCCTGGAGCCTCTGCCCAGGGCCCAGAGAGAGGCCCCCAAAGCTGCGCAGGCCAGCTCTCACGCAGCGCAGGACCAGGAGGGGCAGTCCAGCCCTCTGTGTTCAAAGCTCTGCCTCCCAGTGGCTCCCTGCCTTCACTGAATGTGGCCGTGAGGTCCAGGGACTCGGCCCACCCCCAGGGCTCCCGGGCCTCTGGGTGACCATGCGAGGGTATGCAGGGGAGAGCAGCCCCCACAACTGTGGACGTTTCACCACGTGATACCCCAAATCAGGAGACATAACAGTACCATTCCTGCTTTATATGAGGAGACTGGGGCCCAGAGAGGGCAAGCTACTTATACATGGTCACACAACCCAGGTGGACGCAAGCCCAGGTCAGCGGGCCCACTGAGCAGTACCTGGCACCACAAGCTTCTAGTCCTGCTCTGGGCAAGGGGCTGCTCTTGACCAGCAGAGTGGCATGGGTTGAGATGGTGCCCTCCTCGATACCCTCCGGGGGGACAATGCACTCACTCCGAAACTCTCTGAGGAATAGGACTTGCGAGCTGGGCAGTGGAACAGGAACGTGCCCCAGGAGGGCGGGCCAGCAGGTCACACACAGGCCATCTCACGGGCCCACTCCCTGGCACTCTGCGCCCTCGCCACCCCACCCGCAACATGAGGCTCGGCCAGCCTGGCCCCGCCCTCACAGCGGGCCTGGCCTCTAATCCCAAGCTCCCGACAGCTGGCACGGCAGCAGGACACTCAGTGCCCTGACTATAAAAAGCCACATTACGGAAGGGTGAGCCAGTCCTGTGTCCACTCAGCCTGCAGAGTCCCGCCCCCAGGAGACGTCACTGGGCAGGCCCTGAGCACAGCAGCCGCCAGTCCGGGCCCCAAGTGCCCATGTGGCAGTCCCGCTAGCTACCCCACCGTGGCGGCAGGGCTGACTCCAGGGGCCTGGAGGACATCCATCTCCAAGGGCCAGTCTACCTGCGCCCACAGAGCCAGGCCTCCCAGGACAATTGCCACCAGCCACTGTGAAGCCCCCCTCTCGCCACCCACCCCACAAACACGCCCAGGCTCCTGTCACCCCCACCAGGAGGTGGACTCACTCGGCCCCTTGGCCTCCTGGACCCCCGTTGACTGAGGCTCAGGTCACAGAGCGTCCGATGCCTGTCCCCAGCCCAGGCCCCTCTCGGGAAGCCAGCAGTCCACTCAGGACGCTTGGGGGACCCAGGACTTTTCCCCACAAGGCGCTTCGTCTGTCCATAGTCCCAACCCAAGGCTGACATCTGGCGGACAGGGACCACATCAGAGTGGCCCGCGGCCCCGGTGCCCTCTGAGAACCAGCCGTCCCACCAGTGGCCGCCTACCCTGCTGCAGTCACCCTGGCCCTTGCAGCCCACCGCCCGCCCGATGCTGCGTTCCCAGTGACCGAGTGACCCCAGAGCTGAGGGAGGCCATGGGGCCCACAGGCGCAGGGTGGCTGCTGCCTTGTGAAGGTGGGGAGACAGAGCCGGGGTGGGCAGGGCCTGGACACGAGCAGCAGAGCGCCAGCTCCAGCCACGAGGAGCGGCCGCGGTGCTCCCTGCCGCGGGTCAGGCTGCAGGGTCTCAAGAGCCTGCTGGCCCTGCTCCAACCCTGGCCTGAGAGCAGGTAGGGACGCTCCCCTTCTGCTGACGAAGGCCACAGTCCCCTCCAGATGCTAGGCACAAGCTTGCACTCATGATGACGATGACTCCGACCCATGTGCTTCCTCCCTGAGCACAGCACGGGAGTGCCAGCCCAAGACCCTGCCCGGCTGGGGGCCTCCCTGGACCCTGCTGACCAGGGTGGCCTGCCTGCCACAGGAGCCAAAGGTGGGCCTGGCTTTTACTGTTCCCTGTGTCTCCCAAGGGCCTGCTCCCAGCCCATCCTCCACAGAGGACAAGTGGCCCGCCTTGGGCAGCTGTGGGTGCCGTCCCCTGCAGTGGGACAGGAGCCCGGGGGCTGTCTCAGCCACGTGCAGGAGTGATGCAGGAGCTCAGAGCCCCCTTAGCCAGAGACCACCATCCAGGTACCAGGGGCCACTCCAGACACCTGGGGGGCTGAAAAGTGACCCTGGCGAGGAGCCACCCAGGGGCCGAGGTGACGGAGGGTCTTGTCAGTCCCTCAGGGGCTGGCCTGAGGGTCTGCCACATAATCATCAGGTCAGAACGCAGGCTGGCGCTTTGTGGGCACAGCTCATCCCCCCAGCGTCCATGCTAGGGAAACAGCGAAGCCCCGAGAGGCCAGTGGATGCTCAGACCAGTCGCACAGCAGCTCTGAACCTGAAGCGACTGGGCTCCGTGTCCACACCTGACCCACACTTGAAGACGCGAGCTAGGTGCACGGCCCACACGGCCTTTCCTGAGGGCAGGGGGACACTCGGCCTGCCCCTCAGGCCGCCGTCTGCTGGAGCAGTCAGACTGCAGCCCACCGGCCCCAGGGCCACGGTAGCCAGCAGGTGTCCGCACTCCCAGCAGCTGGTCCTGCTCCCAGCAGGGCCTTTTGTTCCTCGAGAGGGACGGGGAGGGGGGCTGGCCTCCCCTGCCAGCACAGGCTCACCATAGACAGAAGCCACTTTGGGGAAGGGTCAGCCACCACAGTGCTGTCCTGGGGCTCAGGGACACCTCTGGGCAGTCACAGAGACTCGGGGCAGCCATGGCCTGCCCATGTCAAACCGCCCCCTGAACACCCAGGCTGCCCTGGCCACAGTGTCCTTGTCTGCCCAGTGGGATGTCTCTGAAGACCCCCTGGACACTGGGGCCCTCAGCGGGCTGCCACGGAGGGTAGCCGGGCAGCTCTAGGCCTGGTGGACTCTTGAGAGCCCGGCAGAGAAGACAAACGTGGGGACAAAGCAGGGGTCCAGAGCCCAGAGCCCTGAGTCAGCAGGGCTGCCACCCTACACAGAGAGCCTCCTTCTCTAGTGTCATTCCACGGCTCAGGGCAAGGGGCCGGGCAGGGCTTCGTACGGCATGTTGGCACCCACACCTGTCCCCGGCCCAAGGGCAGAGCACCAAATGGGGTGGGGGTTCCACAGGAACAAACTGTCCCCCCCACCCCTGTCCTGGACCAGCACCTCAGCAAGAGCCCGACCCCTCCGCCGGCCCTCTGCCTGCCCGTCACCGCCTGCTCAGCGTGCCCGGAGCCCCAACAGCTGCGCCGGGCGGGGTCAGCCTCACCTGCTGGCGCTGGACCACAACCAGAGCCTTCCTGGCCCCAGCCTCTTCCTCCAGGCCTCTGCACCTGGGGCCTCCCACCTGCTGGGACTCCTCCCTGACACCCAGACCGCCCCACGCCAGGCCCCACCACAGCCAGCTCCCGCCCCTCCCAGCCACCCTCCTCTGGCAGTCCCCAGCCCGTGGCCCCACGGAGACCATGAAAATGTGCTTCGTGTGTCAGAGTCACCTGAGGCCACAGGTCTCAGATCATGACCTTATCATATGCCACCAACCGCCAAGTGACTGTGACCCTAGCAACATGGTGCTCGGCACAGGGTCCCCAGTTAGAAGTGGAAGTAGATCGGTGTCCTCTTAAGGGTGTGCCCGTCCAACCCAAGGGAACTCACCCTGGGGACCCTGTAAGGAGGAGTCAGGTAGCCAGGGCGTCCGGGTGGGATCCCCGAGGGGCAGGCACCGAGGTGCCTCTGACCACAGGCTCGGAGCAGCCTGGGATCTGCCCAGGTGGCTGGATCGTCAGCACCCCGGGGTGATGTTGGCCATGGCTGGCTGGGCCCACCTGGTGCCGAGACCCCGTGCAGCCCTGGCAGGGGTCCTGAGGATCGCAGTCCCCTGTCTCCCAGGGCCCACCCTCCCCAGGGCCCACCTCTCCGCTGCCCCACGGAGCCTGGCTGGGGGTGTGGCCAGGAGCCTCCCTCCCCCAGGGTAGGCAGGTAAACAGGGGAGAAAAGGAGCCGCGGGGCCAGCATCCCCTCTGCCCTCTGGATTGCTGTCTGGGGTGGGGGTCCGAAGGCATGGTTCCTGGAGGTCACAGGGCCGGGCTGGGGCCGGGAGAGGGAGAGGATGTTGATTCTGTACCCCAGGGTCTTCTAGAAGCTTCTGATGACCCCTCCTCCCTCTCCTGCTCTCTGTCTTCCAGGGACACAGACGCTATGTTTCAAATCAGAGACACCGCGTCTGAATGGGGGCCTGTAGAAGATGTGAAAGGGTCCTGCAGATGCCATTAGGGTAGGGATCTCAAGATGAAACCACCTGCACCACCCAGGTGGGCCCTAAACCCGGTGACAGTGTCCTTACGGGAGACAGAGAAGACAAGGACAGAGGCCGTGTGACCTGGCCACAGCTCGGCAGGCTGTGAGAAGGCGGCCAGTTCCCCAGAGCCCTAAGTCAGGTCCTGCTGGCCTTGGATTTGGGACTTCTGACCCCAGACTAGGAAGGTCACCCAGTTTGTGGTCACCTGCTACAGCAGCCCCAAGACATGGACAGAAGCCCCAGGGCCCTCCTAGCCTGCAGGTCCTCTCCAGGATGGCCAGGTCTGCCCACGTGTGGCAGGTGACGACCCTCGGCTACCACCAGCAGCCCTCGCTGCACCCACGTCTCCACTGGGCCGAGGGAGTCTGTGCATCTAAACCCCAGTCCGCCAGCCTGTCCCCCGGAAGGAAGGAGCGAGCAGAGTGGCAGGGCCCTCAGCCGGCCCTCAGAGCCACCACTGGTGACCTGCACACTCCAGGGCTCAGCTCTCAGTGACCCATGGGTTTGAGCAAGGCCAGGCCGCCCGGCACTCAGCCGCGCAGTTGCAGGCAGATTCTTGCAGCGCGGAGCTGACCCAGGGCTGTGTGCAGCACAGACATTCCCCTCAGAGTTCACCTGGTTTTCTGGAAGGCCACACGCCGGGCCTCTGCCCTGGGAGCCACTGGTCCATGCTGGGTGGGTTATGGGGGAAAGGGGCCTACCCACACCAAGAGAGAGGATTCCAAATTCTGAGGTCTAGAGGAAAAACACCCAGGGGGCCCTACTCCGTCCTGTCCAGGACCAACCAGCAGGTCTCCAAGGAAACAGCCTGGCGCTGCCCCGAGGGAGGCGCCTCACCAGCCGATACCTGGGAACTCCATGGAGAAACAAGGACACGGTCTCCCTGTCAGATGCTGGGAGCAGCTCCAGGAACACCCCCCACGTCAAGGGGCTCCCAAGGGAGAAGAGGCTGCCCTAAGTCTGAGCCATTTGGGGCCAAGTGGGCAGCACCCAGCACCACCTGCGTCCACATCTGCATGCGCTTTGCCCAAGATGGAGGTGCTGCTACAGCCGGTGGCCAGTGAGCCCTCAGGGACCCAGCCGCACCGAGCCAGGTAGGTGGTGCCTTACGAGTACCAGTGAGGGCCACGCCCTTCCCACCCACCTCCCATGCCAACCGCACTCCTGACGCGGCCGAGTAGGAGCTGGGTGGCTGTGCACTCCCACGCTCCTCCACCCAGAGGGAGCCCAGCTGGTGCCAGGCCCACACTCACCAGGCCCCACGCCTCCCACAGAGCACGCTGACTGTGGTCACCAGGCCCCACAGGAGGCCAGGCCCCAGGAGGCCACACCGCATGACAGCCAGCACGGACAGCAGCCTCTCTGGAGAGGGGACGAGGGCTCTCTTCCCTCCTGCGGTGCCTGCAGGTCTGTCCCCACAGTGCCCCAGTGGGCACCCCAGGCTCTGAGTGAAGCACCCCGCCTCAGTACCCACCACCCACTCAGCCCCTAGACCTGGTGGCCAGACGCTGGCCCTGCTTCCCTCCTGGCCGGTCACTCAGCATGGATCAGGGCCCGGGTGTCCAGCCGTCACAAAGCTGGGGCCCAGGCCCACCCCTTCCCATGGCCTGGCCATCCCACTGCACAGAGGACAGCTCCAGGTGGCCTAGGGGGCCAGTGGCTGAGGATCCAGGAGGAACCTTGGTCCTCAATGTGTTTTCTGCATGTGGCACCCACGGGTGGCTCACTGGCCCTCGCAAAATGCTTCCATTAATTTTTTTTTTCCCATTCAATCTGAACAGGAGGCTCTGCCACTCGGTGACCTCACACACAGGCCACGAATGGCTGAGACCCTGGGCCTGGCTCTGAGACCCAGAGGCCCTCTGCTCCCTCCCCCAGGACCACAGGAAGGAGAGCAGCCCCAGGGCCAGGCCTCCTGAGTGGGGCCCGAGGCGGACCCCCGTGCTGGGCCCCACGCAACCGCGTACTTACAGTAGCCACACCTGGTCCCGCCTTCGAAGATGAATCCACTCGGCACAGCCCCGTAGCGCCGGAGGTCAGGCAGCTTCCACTGCCCCACGACGGCCGGAGGGATGTCCCTGGCCAGGACCAGGACGTCATTGCAGAGGTGGAGGGTGGCCGGGCCGCTCTCCAGCTTGGTGCCGGGAGCCACTGTCACATGGAACCTGTGCACTGGGGCGGCAGGGGTGAAGCGCATCACCCAGGGAGGGTGGGCAGGTGGCACCCAGGCCTGGGCAGGGGAGGCCCCGCAGATGCTCTCCTGGCCAGGGGACCACCCAGCTGCGCAGCAGGAGGCAGTGGGCTGCCTGCCACGGCCCACTGACCTCCCCTCCCATCTTTCAGGGGCTGCCTAGGGTGAGCTCTGGGAGGGGCTCACAGTCACGGCCTCCGGGGGCTCCGGGGAGGACAGGGCCCATCAGCACGGGGTCAGGACCTTCCCTGGAACTGCCCGCCCTGGCAGCCGTGGACTGGGAGACTGAGGCTCCGTGTGTGGAAGGTGGGGACCAGCCTGGCCGTGGGTGCTCAGGAGGCCACGAACCTTCCTCTCTGGATGGTGGTCCCCTCTCCTCCCCTGGGAGAAGCGGGGTGCTCCTGGCCTCCCGCCACCCCAGCTGGGCCCTCCCCTGGAAGCTCCTGAGACGAGGAGGACAGCCGGGAGCTCTTCCCGCCTCCCTCTCTCTCCAGGCCACCCCACCTCAGGAAGCAGACCGCGCCCTGAGTGACGGCCCCCTGCCTCGGGTGCCCACCCCTGGCCCCAGCCCAGCCCATCTCCTTCCCCACCGCCGCAGGGTCCCCAGCTCCTCCAGGCTGTGGCCTTGACCATCCCCCGGAGCCCACCCCCCGCCCTCTTCAGGATTCCTCTCAGGGTGTCTCCACAGGTGCCTGGGCAGCCCCCTCCCCAGTGGGGTGGGCACTGCCCCACCCAGATAATGGGCCATGGCAGAGCCACGCCAGAACCCCACTGGGAGCTTCCTGGGAAGGCAGGGTCCTCTAGCCATGCCCCAGGTCTGGCCTCAGGTCGGGCAGGGTGGGCAGCTCACGGTGGGCCTCGAAGTGTGACTGTGGTATGTGAGAACTGAAGTCCTGCAGAGAGCCCAGGAAGGACACCAGGTGTGCAGACGGACAGGCAGAACCTGCCGTGGCCGACAGCCTGGAGTTGGCTCACCCTGGAGGGGCTCACCTGGACGGGTGGCCCCGGTCTTGGTGTTTCAGAGAACAAGGCCTGAGAGGCTGCAGTGCTTGTCACTCGGGCCTTCAGTGCCCAAGGCCCGTGCCTCACGAGGGGCCTGGCTCAGGCCTCCCCTCCACACTGCAGAGCCCCAGGGCCCCAGCTCCAGGTGCCCTTTCCCAGGGTGGCCCAGCTCCGTGAACCACCTCTCAGGCACACGAGCTTACTGCCTGTCCACTGGCCACTCAGCCACCGCCCTCCTCCCTGCCCAGACTGCTCCCACCCTGACACTGGCTCCCGGGGGGCTGGTGGCTCTGCTCTGCACAGCCCAGGCTCATATGGCCCAGGAGGAAGCGAGGACGGGACTTTGGGAGATGATGAGTGGCAGCTTGGAACAATGGAGCCGAGTCAGAGAGCTTACAAACCCTGCAGCCCCATAGAATCCCACCCCAATCCTTGGTCTGATCACCCCCAGGCAGGGTCTGGCTCTCCGGGACCCCTCATCCAGAGCACAGAGCTCAAGGCCCAGCAGGACAACGTTTGAGGTGTCCACTAGCTTCCCTTCATTTGTGTGCATTTCCGGGTCTTGTCTGCCCCTGCAGTCCACGTGGGAGAGGGCCCCAGTACTGTGAGGGAGGCCCTCCCCGGGGCCTCCATCTGGGCACTCACCCTCACCAAGCGCATAGCGGATGCGGGCATCCCAGGCGCACATGGCCTGGCGGCTGTCAAAGCCCAGCATGACAGCCTGGGACAGGCAGACGATGGCCAGCGTGTGGACTAGACCCTCATAGGGAAGGCCAGGCTCCAGGCCACAGATGTCCTCCAGGGTCAGGCTGCTGCGCTCCCGGAGGCCCTTGGCACGGTCGGACTTGTCCTTGTAGGCCAGCATGAGCAGGCAATCTGCAGAGGAGGCAAGAGGCCATGGAGCGTCCACCAAGATGCCACTGCCCACTGCCCCCATCCTCAGCACCCCCTGGGAGGACATGGCACAGCTGGGAAAGAGACTGGGGCTTAAGATGTGACCAAGAAAGCCATTCATCCACCCTGCCCCCTCCTGAATGACCAGCAAGCCCCTTTATCACTGTGGCTGGGCCTCGACTCCACACGGATGACCACTCTGCCCAGGCCTGTGAGCCCACCCTGGCCTTGGGTTGCGGGAGCTGTGGTCCCTGACTCAGGAAGCAGGCACAGTGCCTGCCCAGCTGCGTGGGCCTCCTCCCTGCTCTGAGGCCTGGGCTGCACCCTCTGGCCTGACGCACGGACGCCTGCTTCCCCTCCATTCTCTTGGCTCCCAGGCTGTGGCCTGAGCCCAGCCCTGGGGAGGAAGAGGAGTGTCACGGGACCATGGGTCCTACCCGAGCAGCGTGGCAGGCCTCCACCTGTCCGCTGGCTACAGGGACAGGCCTGAGTCTCACCTCCTGGCCCCTCCAGGACACTCGGGTCTCCATCGACATGTCATTGCCAACACTGCCACTGCTCAGCGTGGCCCGTGCCCACCCAGGTCCCCCACAGCTCCAGGACCCCAGGTGCCCAGTCTTGGAGGAGGGTGTCGGCCTAGGGACCTAATGCAGACGCCAAACACATTCACACTGACACGACCCCAGATCCCACATGAAACTCAAGGAGTCAAGGCCCTCGCCCACCTGCGGGAGAGGGGGACGGAAGTGCCCAGGACAGGGTGGAGCCGGCTCAGCCCCTGGAAGCAGACACTCCTCTTTAACCGGCCCAGCAAACCCACCTGAGACCCCAGGCCCCAGATGACGGGGACGCACACACCGCTGCGGCAGAATCCCCCACACAGCCCTGAGCTCCACCTGCCTCCCTCCCAGCCCAGCTTCTCGGACCAGGACCAGAGTCCCAGCCTGGAGCGAGGGACACCACCAGAGGCCTACGGTCAGCAAGCTTTCTCTGTGAGGGCCAGAGGGTGACAGTCTGTGCTTTGCAGGCCACATGGTCTCTGTGTCAACTACTCAAAGCTGTCCTCCTGGTGACAGAAGAGTGTAGGCCAGTGGCCCCTGTGCCCACCTGGAGGGTCACTTTCAAACACAGGCCTGTGGGCAGCGGGGCTTCCGCCGCCTACTGGAGAATCCTTCGCTGGCACCTCAGTGTTGACAACATGGAGAAGGAGGGTCCCCAGGTGAAGAGAACCAGAACCCACAGAGGCCACCTGTCCCTGCGCAGGGCCAGCAGGATGCCTGCAGGCCAGATTCCAGGCAGGACCACAATGCCCGGGCAACGCAATAGTGAGTTCTCATGGGAATGTCCCCGTCCCATCACCAGAGCACCAAGAAAGACACAGGCAGCCCTGCAGCCCCTCACCACCACCCACAGGCAGCCAGGCTGCGTCCCTGTGCTGCTTCCAATAAAGCTTTATTTACAAACAGGCGGTGCTGGGCTTGAGAGGGCACCTGCCCACCCCCAGGGAACCCTGCCTGTGCCCAGGCTGCGGAGCAGGTCTACCCCACCCCCCGGACGTTAAGCCTGCGCAGGACCCCACCCTCGCGGAGCCCCCTGCAGGTCTCGGCCTGTCCTGGTTGGGCTCTGTCTAGCGGGCCAACTTGAGTCTGCCCCTCAACGCACTTCAGCTGAGGCTGGGTGCAGGGTGCTGGGGTCACCCTGGAGGACAGAGCCCAAGGATGAGGCCCAGGGCCCAGCCCTGGCCACCCACGCCCACAGGGGCACACCCACAGTGGGCTGAATGTCTGTGCCCGCTTAGGCACTGATGTATCTGGAGGCGGGGCTTTGGGCAGAGCCTCAGTGGGGGGCTTGTGAGGGAGGACCTGAGGACCCCTTCCCCGGGTGAGGGAGGGGCAGCAAGGAGGTGCCAGCTGGAAACCAGAGCAGCCCCTGCTGGGCAAGAGCCCGTGGTAAGGAGGGATCCTGTCCTTCACTGGCCACCGGGGCTGGGCGACTGTCACAGCCTCGGCAGACAAAGGCGCACACACATGTGTGCCCACTCTCATGCCTTCGAGTACACACACTCCCATGCACACCAGGGCGTACACACAATTGCACACTCTTACACACTCACGAAAATGCTCACTCATGAAGCAGGATGGCACATGTCTGTAATCCCAGTGGCTTGGGAGGCTAAGGCAGAAGGATCCCAAGTTCAAAGCCAGCCTCAGCAACAGGGAGGCACTAAGCAACTCAGTGAGACCCTGTCTCTAAATTTTAAAAATATCAAATAGGGCTGGGCTGTGGCTCTGTGTCGAGTGCCTCTGAGTTCAGTCCCCGGGGTGCAGGTGACCAGGTTTCAGCCCCCACCTGCCTACCCCGTCCTCAGCCTCTGAGCCTCTGTTTTTCCCCTGAAAGTTGGAGAAAGCCCAGCTCCAGGGTCCAGGCACTAGCTGGGAGCTGGGCCTGGCCACTGAGGCCTCTGGGAGTCTCCACACAGGGCGGCCAGCAGCAGCCCCATGGCCAGGCCCTCAGCACAGAAGCCTAAAGGACTCGGGGCTGAAAGGCAAGTGACTGACCCCGGGCCCTCCACCCACAACTTCTGCCCTGGGCAGGTGGGCAAGCTGGGCTGGGAGTGAAGAAAGACAGGAACACTGAGTGGGCTTGGCTGGGTCATTCCCCCACCCGGGCCCCAGGGCCCACCCACGGTTCACAGCCCCCTTGTGCCCTGCCTCGTCCTGGCCTGGGCCTTCCTGCAGCCCTGAGCCGCGAAGCCCAGTTCCCACAGAGCTGTCCCAGGAGCGACACAGACAAGCCAGCACCCAGGACAATCATCAGCAAAGTGCTGTACAAGGAGGGGCAGGGACCACCTGTGCGTGGGCTGGTGGCTGAAGGCCCAGCCCAGCAGCTCCACAGGAAACAGCGCTGTCTTAGAGGGAATGGCCAGTGCATCCCAGAGGCAGGCAGCATGGCCTCTTCAGGGCCCAAGGGCCGGGCAGCACTGGAAACAGGGAGGCAGAGTGGTCTGCAGTGCAGGCAGCTGGTCAGGGTCCTGGCTCCAGAGAGCTCCAAGGCTCTGGGCCCAGAGGCTGGGCTGGCTGGTCTTTGAGCCTCTGTGTGGCCTGGCGTGACTGCTGCCCCAGAGCTCCTGCCCCCAGGCGAGAGGCCTGCACACACCATGGCGCTGCCCATGTCGCTCTCCCAGCCCTCTGGACAGGAGACCACAGGCCCTCTAGGATGAGAGGAGATGAGGGTGAAGGATTAAGGGGCCTCTGTGGATCTGGGGGGAGGGATGCCTGGGAGGCTGCTGGGGGCCAGGATGGGGGTCTCTCCTGGATGAGAGAGGCTGAGAAACCCACTGGACATGGGGCAGCAGCTGGACAGGCGTCTGGAGATGTAAAAATAACCGGGAGTCATGAGCTCACAGAAGCCTTGCAGCCAGGGCTGGGAGCCCAGGAAGGAAGGGAGAGGCAGGGCAGTGGCCTCCCGTGGAGAGGAACTGCAGGGTCCAGTGGCCAGCAAGGAGGCTGCAGGAAGGCAGAGAGCAGCGGCTGCTGGACCCGTACCCTGGAGGTCAGAGTGACCTTGAGGCAGTGTCCCTGGAGGAGACTGAGGGACCCTGCTGAGCACACAGCAGCCTGGGGCGGCCCAAGAAGCCGGGCAGGGGCCGAGGGACGCTGACCTGGTTGGCTTGCTGGGGCCTCCCAGGACACACAGGGCAGGCCAAGGGCACTCAGGAAAGCATCACCCTACCTGTGTTCACAGTGGTCACCCCCGACACCATAGCTGGCACCACAAGAGAGCATGGAGGTCACTAGGAATGGCTGGGGCTCAGCACGCAGGCCCAAGCCCCGGCTCCCCCCTCTCCGTCCACCCTCCCCAGACCCTGGGCGTAGGCTGGCCGAGCGCTGCTCTGAGCTGCTCAAGAAAGATGCTGGGCAGGGGCGCAGCTCTCCTGGGCAGGTCCACGGGGGCTGCGCCAGATTCTGGGCCCAGGAGATCCTGTTCCTGGGATGGGGCTTGCGGGAAGCTGGGCCCTGGGTGTGGCCCTGTTTTGTGATGGTACCATGGGAAAGGAAGACTGGCCGCCACCCCACCCCTCCTTAGCCAGGGGCTGAGATGTCACCTCATCCCCACAGGGAAGGGGGCGGAATACAAATGACCCAAAGCAAGAGTCACCAACTTCCGAAGGGACCCCAGGGCCCACAGGGCCTGACACCTGGAGGAACTGGTCAGCAGAGTAGCCAGCTGCACGGGCCAGCAGTCCCAGGCAGGGATCAGGCAGCACAGGTGGCCCCAGGGCTCCGGGCACACATCCCGAAGCTACCCGTGCCTGTACCTGGGTTCAAGGTCCTGTATCACCAAGACCATGTAAACGGGGGTCCTCCTGTAGGCAGGGGTCCCCAACCTCTCTGCCCAAGCCCCAACCCCTGCAGACTGCTGGTGGGTGAGGCCAAGCTGGGGACCCAGCCCTCCAGGAGCAGAGAGCAGAGATCACAGGCAGCCAACAACCAGGGCGACCCACTCCCTGCTGCCCACTCCCTGGCTGCCCAGCCACTCCCACAGGCCCACGTCCTGGGCCAGATCCTTCAGGTTTCTCACCCCAAGCCTCCCGGTCCATAATGCCCCAAAGGCACCGCCAGCTCCGGGACTCAGGTCCCTCGTGGGGGCTTCCCAAGCAAGAGGGAGCACCAGGAGCGGCTCACGGGTAGCCTTGGAGTGGTGCCCCTCCCGGTCCCAGTCTCAGTGAGGCCCAGCCAGGACTGGACCCCGATGCCCTCTCCTAGAGGCCCAGAGAGGGGAGTGGACGGCCCTGTGCCGGGAGGCAACCCCAGCCTCGAGGAGCACAGTCCCACGAAGACTCCCTAGGGTGCTGCGGCAAGGGTCCTGCACTGCCCACCTGCTAGCCTTGGCGGCCATGGGGCCTGGCTCTTTCAGACCCGCCGACTAGGCCTCATTAGGAGAGGCCCCCCCCAGGCTGCAGTGGAGAGGCCTGTGCCCAC